ATTCAAGCTGGAGTTGCCCTGGCACGGTGAACCACCACCCAGGATGATTCCGCGTACCCTGAGGCACCAGGCGGAAGTACTCAGCAGCAGTAGACACCCGAACCGGGTGAGGAGTAGAGGCCGCCTTGAGGATGATGTAGACCGTGGGCTTTGTTGCAATCTTTGGAGTAGGCCAAGGTCTCGGCACGATTCCAGCCAGTGTAGCGCGAGCCCAATGCCCAGCAATCCAAGCCCTGTCAGCTCGAGCGCGAACTTCGTCTGGAGAGCCAGCCAAATGACTGCACAGATCAAGGCAAACGTCACTGAGAGGCAACCGACTCGTAGGCCTGATTGGAAGACAGGCCAGGGGCCGATGATGGCCTTGGAGGTGAATCGTTTCCTGCAGCTAACCAAGTCCCAATCCACGGAGTCCGGAATGCGGTCCTCAGGATGCGGCTCCACGCCGTGAGCAACCTGAGTAGCAGGAGGTTCAAGACCACGAGCCGCAGCAGCCCTGTTTGCAGCAGTGTCCAAAGTGTCTGCCAACGTCCGCAATGAGAGAGCAACTGCCTTGACCGATTCAATGAGAATGTTCAGGACGGTGCCACTCATGAAGGTACGCCTGCAGGCGCAAGGCAATGGAGGAAGCTGGCCAGGATGTCGGCCAAGGAGAGGATGAAGCCGGGTGTAAAAGAGGACCCCAGAAAATTCAAAAACCAAGGCGACAAAGAGAGGAAGCCAAAGGGAAAGCCGGCCGTGGAAAGGCCAGAGCCGGACACACAGGCTGACCACCCCGAGCAGGCGTCCTAACTCAACCTGGCAAGTTCCACCAGGGCCTGAAACATGAACCTGAAGCTTCGAGCATGAAAGTGGACGACACTCAACACTGAAGGTCATACATATTACATATATATATAATATATATATATATATAGATATTCTGAGAAACCTTCTCCACCGGCATGATGTCAGGCCATGAACCAAATCCGAAATGAAGGACCAAAAGTTGGAAATCGATGCACTTCAGAGGTGTCATTGCAGTTATGTTCCTAGGTTGCGGGAAGATGCAACACTGCTTCACTGACAGTGTTCCCCTCCAACCAAGCCACCGAATCGCCTGCACCAACCTCTGCCTTGCACAAAATTCGTGCAAAAAATAGGCATTTGCCCCAAAGGAGTCGCGAGGACGTCCTTGCAGCATAACAAAACATAACTCAGTTCCAAAAAATTGACCATGGTGTAACCCGCAGATAGTAGGTGTCGGCCGACTATCTGACTATCATGTTCCATCCGACAAGAATCCTTGATCAGAGTGGCCAAGCCCAAAGGCCCCACAAACCCCGTCAGTGGCCCTCAAACGCGTTTGTCCATCACCAGGATTCTTCAGTCCAACAACCCAACGTTTGTCAACGTTGGTCTGTGCCCAACGTTTGTCAACGGGGTTCGTCTGTGCTGGTGCTGCTGGTTTTTGTTGATCATGTTGGTTGTTGTTTAGAGGAAAACCCCACCGAAGGAAAACAAAGCAATAGGTGGTCGGCTCAGGCCGCTCGGGTGAAATCACTTTTGCGTTTTCTGTTTGACATCGCAATCCTCGCCAGCTGCCAGTGGCAGTGGCCCAAAAAAATTCTGCTGAGATCTCTCAGGACGAGCTACCCATGGACCGGAGGTTTTGGTAGAAACCGGAAGGGTACTTATTTATGGGGGCCTCTATCTCGAATGCAACATTAAATTCGGCATGGTTCCGCGGTTCCGCCAAACAAGCAACATGATTGGATGGATACGGTGGGGACGGCTCAAGGCCATTTCAGGAAACCCATCTGCAAAGAGAAGTAAGAAATTATAGCCAGTGTTGAAGCACCCAGAATGAAACACATGTTCGGCATGGAACATTGACCTGCAGGGTCCCAGAGGCATCAGCGTGCCAGCGTGGGTTGCTGTTTTCACCCACCCCCACAATCTGGCAACCCTAACAAGTGCACTACTACTAGTAACAAGAAGCTACTAATCGCTACTAGTAACAAGTGCATGCATTACTTCGCAGAAGGATCTTCCGCGGCTGATGATCACACCGCCAGAGCGCCTGTCTTCAGGAGCGCTGTGCTTCAAGGCACAGCGGACCACATGGCTGGCCACCTGAGCAGCCACAACCCACAAACCACGGGTCAAAACAAAGCCGGAAAGATATAAATAGAAATACAACTAACACAACCGATTGATTGTATCATCATGATTCTGGATGTCCGAAACCGTCCAAAACTTCTCAATCAGGATTTGGGTGCTATGGAAAAGGTCTAGAGTCTAGAGTCTAAAGGCATCCATGTTCTAACATCATTGTCCATTTCAATCCCCTGCGCATTCTGCATCCCTGCGGCTCGATGGCGTGCCAAGCTTTGGATGTCAGAGTGGATCACTTCCACCACTTGGTGCTTCTGCTCGGGCGTCCTAACGTCGATCTGGTCAACTCACGTCGTATCGATACAAAGCACCCCTAGGTAGACACCAAGCTGCTTCAGAGATACAAGGTTGACACACCTTGGATGGAAAACATGGAAACTCGAGATCCAAACCTCCAGGGGTTCTTTCCACTCCTTCAATCCCTATCGGCGTCATTGAAGCAACGGATGTCGAGAAAAGATGTGTTTTAAAAAAAGAAAGCGAACTGGCCTGTCCGACGCGGCGGGCGGCGTTCTGGCAAAGGTCCTTTGACGCGCCAGATCTTGGTATCTGTGGCCTTTTGCTTTCAAACCAGAGCTTTGGTCAAAGGTTGTTGGCCAAATCTCTTCGACCCTGTTCACGCTTCACCCGCTGTTCTTCTTCCCCCCCCTCCTGACCCACTTCCAAAGGCTCCCATGTAGCAGGATGTGTTGCACCACGAAGTTTCCAAAGGTATCGCGGCACAGCTGCGGAGCGCCACTCAGCACCTCACCGGCCGGTGGATGGAACAGGAATGGAGTGAAACTATGTAAAACTGGATCTTTTCCGTGTCTTTGGGGGGCAAACACAAGGATGTCCAATCCACTGTACCTCAAGAAGTTGTGCGTTTGACAGTGAGACGGGCAAGTGATTGATGGTACTGGGCCTTGGGATGTAGCTGTGACAAGATTGGATCACGTCGCTCCAAAATGTGCTCCGCACGTGACAAAGGTCAAGCAACGCTCTACATGGCACAAATGAAATCAAGAGGTTCTACCGGACCCTCTGGAACTTGCCCTCCGGACACCTTCTCAGTTCGCAAGTCCCACGCAACTCCACGAGCTTCCCGAGAAATCCTATCAGTCCCTACTTCCTCCTCATGTGCTCGACGCCCCAACCTGAGTTCTTGTGAGGTGCCCTTGGTGGGTATACTTTAAGAGCAAAAAATGACCCACAGTCCACCTGGAAGACTTGGAATGACTCGGATATTAACAAGAAGACGCCTCAGGAGGGAATCGCCAAGCACGGAGCGATCGGACGCGACGAACGGGGCACTCCTGGCCTTACTACTACAGGAACAAGGACGCTACACCTTCCCCCCCCCCCCCGGTGCTGTGGAGCCCCGTGGCTTCCTCGATGAGTGGTGCCGTTTGTTCGCTGGGACAATGCTCCAGAAGACGGTTGAGGACTCGGCAGCCTTGGAGACGTTCGGGCTGATGGAGGCTCTTCGCTGAACCCTTCTGCGCTCGGATGCCAAATGCAAAATTCAGAGGGAGCAAAAGAAAACATACACAGCGGTGCAGGTTTTTTGTGTCCTCCACAGTACTACAGTAAGCCCAAGTAGATTGGCACGCGATTTCTGTGCGACGACGAATTCAACTTAATCACGTTGACCACCATGGGCTGAAGGCAAAAGCAAATCAGAAGCTGAGGAACCCCAAAAAAATAGCATTGCATCCAAAATTCGGTCAAACCTTGTAGAAACCCTCCAGCCCAGACCTCCCGTTTTTCGACCCGAGACCTTCCCCAGTGCCCAGGCACCATAGCGGTGACTGGCGGCCGCAACAGCGCTTCCGTGCATCTCGGCCAAAAGGAAGCCGAGCCGCTCCGGGGGAATCAGCTGAATGCATTTCCTGGGCGACTGGGGCGAATCCGCGGAATCGATCGGCCACAGACGTGGAATCTCGGTGGTTCTAAAGACACACTCACCAGTCCTTCACTGCCCAAAAGTGACAAGGCACTGGAGGACGTGGTTCGCATGGGGCGAGGCAAAGGCTTCTTTGACATGCCCTTGCAGCTGCTCTGCCAACGCCACACCTGGAAAGCGCAAAGCCGGAAGCTGTTGGGTCACTGAACAAAACTCCCAAAACGCTCGAATTCATAGCTTCGCCATGCTTCGCCGTGCTTTCTCAGGAGTGTGCAGATTCTTATCAACCATATGACCTTCCATGTAGCTGCCCTACTCGCCGTACCCTGTCTGTGCGAAGCTGCCATGATGCTTTGGGACATCAGAACAGCTCGTCAACCTACTAGTATGAGGTGAGACACAAAAAGCTCCCAAATCATTGATGGCTGATGACTGATGTCTCCAAAACCAGCCAATGCGGTGTTAGAGACAAAGAAACCAGTTGCAACATGATGCGAGGCAGAACCTTTGGCAACAACTTCAAACGGTACTATGAGCGTGGTGTATCACCAAATCGTCTTTCCTGCATGAACTGCTGTCTGATCTTCCCGTGGTGATGGGTGTAGGATTCAGCCGATTCAGATCTACTTCTAGCGGTGCTCTAAGACGTGCCTCTACCACCAAACACCTCTTCCTCGCGCATGTCCGAACGGGTCCGCATGAACAGACCAAGCCACGCTCTGGAGTGTCCTAGATCGCATGACGAGCTCGGACTCGGGAAGGCAATAAGCTGCATGAGATGCTCTTGTGGCTTCCGAATTGGGTTTACCACAAAACATACGTGGTTTCACATTCAAATGAAGAGGGAAAACGCCCAAGCC